CTTGCTAGCATGTGAAATGAGTGCAACTGTATGGTAGTTTAAACATTCTTTGACATTGCCTTTCTTTGGGATTGGAATGAAAACTGACCTTTTGCAGTCCTGTGACCTCTGCCGAGTTTTCCAAATTTGCTGGCATATTGAGGGCAGCACTTTGTCAGCATCATCTTTTAGAATCTGAAATAGCTCAGCTGGAATTCCATCACCTCCACTAGCTTTGTTTGTAGTAACGCTTCCTAAGGCCCACTTGACTTCATGTTCCAGGATGTCTGAAACTAGGTCAGTGACCACACCATCGTGGTTACCTGGATCATTAAGGACTTTTTTGTATAGTTCTTCTGTGTATTCTTGCCACCTTCACTTAATCTCTTCTGCTTCTGTTAGGTCCTTGCCATTTCTGTTCTTCATCTGTGCCCATCTTTACATACCATTTTCCCTTGGGATCTCTTAATTTTCTTGAAGAGATCTGTAGTCTTTCCCATTCTATTGTTTTCTCTATTTCTTCACATTTTAATTACTCAAATCTGAATTATACATTTAACTCTAAAAATTTTAAAAGCTGCCACACTGCCTGTGCTTTCTTTTTTATATTTATTCACTTTTCTCAAATTTTCTATACTGAGCTTTTAGTATGTTCACACACACACAAAAAACCTACAAGCCAAAAACTTGGTCAAATATGTTATACATAGTATATAAAATATACAGTCTAACTCATACCCTGCTCACACACTGCAACAATCTACTGCCATAGAGGGGGAAAAGGCAGACACCGCAGCCATTCCCCCAGTTCTACCATGCCTGCAGAACCCAGACTGTGTTTAGGTGTTAGGCAGGCCAGCACTGCTCAGGGCAGTGAAAGCTGTCCTTTGCTTGGCCCCAGAGGGTATGAGCCTACAACTAGTCTAAGCTTATTCCTCTTGGAGCATTTAGAGTGGGCACATGACTAAGAATTTCAGCCAAAGTTGGGGAAGGGGAGAGAGAGCCTCCATTCTGACTGGGAGATTTTATTATGTTGGGGATACAGCTAAAAGTAGAGGAGCTTAATTCAAACCAAGGAGTCTGCCTCCAGTCTTAATAACTTTGTGATCTTAATAACTTTGCTCTCCAGCATCACAAGAATAGGTCTTTTACAGCCCATCTTTTCTTTCCTGCTAGTGACATTCCTGTGAATAAATGATGCCTGAAACTGTGGCAGTCATCTTAACGCCAGGCCAGAAGAGGCAAGAGAACTGCAGGGAGACCATCCCTTGTCCTGCCTTTAAATACCTGATGCACATGGAATCACTAACCTCCAGATGTAATATGCATAACAAAGTGCCTTTATTACTATTAGTTAAGCCACGATTAGCGTGATTTCACTACTTGCAGCTGAAAGCATTCACAGTGGACTAATAGGAGAGATTTTGGAAACCCAGGATTTGGTCTCAGATCAACCATTTAGTTTCTATAACGTTCTTTAAATCTTCCAACTTCTGACTCCATTTATTCATTTGGAAAATGAAGATAATAATATATATTGTGACAGGGCTGTCCTGAGGCTCAGGAGATCCAGTCTATGAAAGCACTGCGCAGCATGGCTGCCACTCAACCCGCTGTCCACCAAAGTATCACGGCAGTTTTTAAAACCCAAATCAAAATAAAAATAAATAAATTAAAAAAAAACCCAAATCAGATGTTACATTCCTGCTTAGAATCACCGAGGAAATATTAGTAGAGCACAGAGGCCCGTCATTATCTGACCCCACCTCCACTTTCCATGGCTTTACCCTCTGCCTCGAGGTAGCTCAGTGCACCCCAGTCCTGCAGCTCTGACCTGCAGCCATGCCCTGTCCTCACGCTTTTCACATGTCCTCTTCCCTCTGCTCTCTCTCTAACTCAAACTTACCAGGTCAGATCAGAAAAGTCTCCTTCTTCAAGCACCTAAACCCACCAAATGCTCCCCTCCTTTCAAATCAATTCTTACCTAATTTTGTAGAGCACATTATGTTACAGTAAGGAAGACAGACAAGTAGAATGTGAACAACTTAAGAGGCTGAGATTACATCTTAGTGATCTGGGCATTCTAGGACACCCAGCCTACGGCACAAAATACTCAAAATGTTTTGCTAAATAAAACCTTTGTGGCTGTCATCTCCCACCCTACATCTACCTGGACTTAAATAGGAAACCCTGTATTAACCCACATGATTAGCTTATTATTACCAGAAACTGACAAAAAAGTAAGAAGCCCAAATGGGAAAATACAAAATAGATTTAAACAAACCTCCATTACCTGATAATCAGTCAATAAACAATTACTGAGTTTGTTTCAAATGCTAAGCACTGGGCTAGGCAGGAGATACAAAAGTGAACGGACAAACACCCAGCCTTTGTTCTCACAGAGCTCACAGTCCCACTGTGAAAAAATGAAAATCCATTCCAGTACTGCGTGGTAAGTGCCAGACAGGAGAGTGTAAAAACGCTATGGAATCTTATACCACGGGACCCTGACAAGGATACTCACTGCACTGAGGATGAGAAGCCTTCCTGAATTTGTCAAGTTATAAGGTTAACAGCATTGAGAGTCTCATCTGTAACGCTTACTCACCTCTTCCAAGAAGGACGGTTATCTACAGCTCCTCCCGCAGACTTCAGTCTGATACTGCCCCCACCCTTCTGGTGAGCTAAGCTACTTAAGAGCACTCTTTTGTTGTTGTTGCTTAGTTACTAAATTGTGTCTTTTGCGACCCCATGGACTGTACAGCGCCAGGCTCTCTGTCCAAGGGATTTCCTCGGCAAGAATACCAGAGTGGGTTACCATTTCCTCCTCCAGGGGACCTTCTCGATTCAGGGATCTAACTCGCATCTCCTGTATTGGTGGGTGGATTCTTTACCACTGAGCCATCTGGGAAGTCCTCTTTACCACATTACAATTAGTTGCCAAGCCCCATAAACTCTACCTCCACAAGCATAACTCTTTGCTCTAAGTAAACTACTTCTCCATTGCCCAGGTTAATCTGTTCCCTAGATGTTTAAAATAATTTTTATAATGTCGAAAGATCCTGAGGACCTTATCCCAGCTCCACATATTATAATGACTGAGAAAATACACAGAAATGTATGAATTTGTCCTCTCATACTGGGAATGACAAATAAACATCTACAACTGTATCCCAATTAAATTTTTCTTTCTGATAGTTTTCTTAACACTGCAAGCTTTCTAAAATATAGTTTGAATCAAACTATTCCTAAACTGAAACAACGGTTACCCACTGTTCACTATGAGTAAATTCCTCAGGCAAGCCTTTCATAGAACAGATTCAACTTGCCTTTCTATTTACCACTGCGTGTACCTCGAAATCTGGTTCAGCCACACTATCTGTTGTTCATACCCTGATGCCCCTTATGATGTCCCTTTTATGAAACAGTGGTTAAGAACAAAAACCTGGAGTGAGCATGATACGTGACAGGTGTTCACTATAAACAACTCTATGCCAACAAATTTGACAACCTAGATGTAACAGACCAACTCCGTGAAAGGCAATCTGCCAAAACTCACAGAAGGAAAAACAGACTATATGAATAGGCCTGTATATACTAAAGAAATTCAGTCAGTAACGATACCTTTCCAAAACAGAAAGCATCTGGCCTGAATGGATCCACCGGTGAATTCTACCAAACATTTAAAGATGAAATTATAAAATTCTCTACAGTCCCCACAAGAAGCAGAGGGAATACTTCCTTACTGAATCTATGAGGCCAGCATTACTCTAATATCAAAGTCAGACAGACATTACAAGAAAACTACAGACCAGTATCTCTGACGAACACAGATATCAAAAACCCTCAACAAAGTATTAGCAGACTGAACTAAACAATATATTTAAAACACCATACATGACAACCAAATGGGATTTATCCTAGGTATGCAAGGCTTGTTCAATACTTGAAAATCATTTAATATAATCTATTTACGTCATATAAATAGATGCAAAAAAAAAAAGCATTTCACAAAATCCAGCAACCATTCACAATAAAACCTCAGAATAGAGGGGAACTTTCTCAACTTGATAAAAGAATATCTATGGAAAATTTACAGCTAGTATTATACTTTCTGGTGAGAAACTTAAAAGCTTTCCCATCAAGATCAGGGACATCTTTTCACCACTCCTTTCCAATCTCTACAGGAAGTTCTCACTAATACAATAAGACAAGAAAAGGAAATGAAAGTATACAGATTGAGAAGGAAAGAATATACAAAGAGTACAAAATGAACACAAAAATTCAAGCAAGTATTTTAATAAAAAGAAACCTGGATCTTTCTGCAATGTTAGCCTTAAATATCCTCTCACAGAAAGGTTATTTTCCACTTAGCTTCCATGACTCTCTTCTCTCCAAAGGCCCTTCATCTGGCTCATCTTCCACAGATGCAATAACAACAGATGTTCACCATAATTATGTTCCGAGCCCTTTTAAAGGATTTCTTAAAACTCATTCTTCTGCAATCTTACTCTCTTTAATTACTTAGCATCACCTCTCGGCAAATAACTGCCTGTATTTCAGTTCTTAATTTTTAGCTATCTACTGAGCATCTCTACTGTGATATCCCACTGGTACTTCAAACTCAATATGCTTAAATCCAAGCTTGTTCTCCCTCTCTATTTCATACCGCATCGTCCTTGTCATCGACTTTTTAATCATTCTGATCTAAAACTCAATTCATTTCATTTATATTATCAATTTTAATAGAAAACTTTCAGAGAACAGAGATATTATTCTGTTTATGTAGTGTACATTCTTTTCTCTGACACTGAATTTTTCAAAAACAGGATTTTACTTGTCTATAAAATATGCTATTCCTTGGACAACTGTAATTTTTCAACCATAATTGTATTGTTGGATATTTTCAAAGAACTCTGATTATTTTCTCTTTGGAATATACTCCTAAAAATGAAGTTACAGGATTAAAGGATAGAGGTATTTTACACTGACTACAAAATTTTCCTTTAAAAAGGTTAAAACAATGTATACATCTACCTGGAGAAACAGAAATTGTTTGTTTCACTAAGTCTTTGCAAACAACAATGGTTATAATGTAAGCAAAATCTTTGCTAAAAGTTTTTTTTTTAAGGGTATTTGTTTGGTGATCACAAGAACTATGTGTAATTTTAATTTTCTCTTTATAATTTTCTACACTTTAACTTTCTACAATAAGAATGCCTCAGAAAAAAATTATATGCAATGTGATAAGTGCTATTTTGTAGGCACATAATACAAAATGTACTTGAATGACAGAAAAAGGCAACTGTTTCTTTACCTAATTGGAGACAGTCTGTCAAACTGAGGACCCAGGCTTTCAGGAAGTATACTTTAGGAACAAAGAGAACTAAATACTCCAAGTTCTGATCTATCCTCCACTAGAGCAGCTCTATTTCTGTTTTCTACACTGAGGATCTGCCTTAAACTCTACCTGAAAAGTGAGTTCTGCTGCTACAAAGAAGCACCAAAATCACTGTTCTAAATTACAGATTTGATTTGTAAAGTACTACTTTTTTTTAGGAAGGTAGGAAAAATGTTCAGTTTATTTTAGAAAATTTTCCAACAAAAATGGTTTCTAAAATATGCCATTTAAAAGTCAATGCCTAGCACTTCCCTGGTGGCACAGTGGATAGGAATCTGCCTGCCAATGCAGAGGACCTGGGTGTAACTCCTGGTTTGGGAGGATTCCACATGCTGTGGAGCAACTGAGGCCGTGCGCCACACTACTGAGCCTGCTTGCTGCAACTACTGAAGCCTGTGTGCCTACAACCTGTGCACCACAACGAGAGAGTAGCCTCCACTCTGCAACTAGAAAGTAGCCCCTGATGCCTGTAACTAGAGAAAGCCTGTGCACAGCAACAAAGATCCAACACAACCAAATTTTAAAAAATAAAATTAAGTTTAAAAAAGAGAAAAGCCTGTGTCTAAAGTTTAAAAAGTCCACATTTGACTATACACCGAAATTCGCGTAAATGTATACATCATACTACAGTAACACAAGTGTAATTTCTCTTTAACAAATAATTTTTTTAAAATACTGCTGCTAACTGGTATACATTTTTAGGCTACTGAATATCAAAGCATGAATAAACCTTCTATTTTTAATTAACACACAGTCCCACTTAGAAGTCAGGGTACTCATGAGGCCTGCGAAACTTTAAGTTCATTCACAAACGACAATTTTAATTCACATGTATCAAACTGCCCAGTAGTAACAATCTAAATGGCAAATCATATAAAAACCTTCTTACAGGTACTTTGACATTATTTTTGTACAAAATACCTTTGAACAATAACAAAAAACTGATTTAATTGATATATTTTTATAAAATACAATGAAAAATCGATTTGTGACAGAAACATACCATGTTCCAACACTTAAGATACCCGAATTCAAATTTAAAAGTTCTTTTGGAGAAGCACAGAAAAAAGGAAAATTACTGTTCCTATTTTACCTGTGGGCTGAAGTGAAGCAGGGGGCCGAGGCTGTAAGCCCCACAAATTTTCCATACTGTTCCGGTCCTTAAGGTCCAAGAGATGTATTAAAATTNTGTCATAAACATAGTGGGTTCCATGACAGGCAAACAATGGTATGATGACATCAAGAGTGGATTTGATACATGTAAATCCATGGCTAATTCATTTCAATGTATAATAAAAACTACTGTAATGATGTAAAGTAATTAGCCTCCAACAAAAAAAAAAAAAAAAAAAAGAAACCATATCGCCAGAGAAGTGTACAAAGAACAGTGAATGACCACTGGCCTCATTACTATTCAAAATTCAGGAGTTATCCACAACCCCATACTGCATGCATGCTCAGTCATGTCAGACTCTTCATGACTCCATGGACTACAGCTTGCCAGGAGCCTCTGTCCATGGAATTTTTCAGGCAAGAATACTGGATACTGGAGTAGGTTGCTATTTCCTCCTTCAGGGTAATCTTCCTGACCCAGGGATCAAACCCATGTCTCTTGCATCTCCTGCATTGGCAGGTGGATTCTTTACCACTATCGCCACCTCGGAAGCCCCATCCTAAACCCCAGAAATAAAAAGGTTAGAGCATGTACAATACATACAATTGGGGGATGAGGGTTAAGGAAAAGGAGGATGTATCTTATAACCCAGTGGTCTTGGATGAAAGTCAAGCCCCCTGGTATAACAGATCCCAAGGATCTAGACATCAAAATGGAATCTTCTGCAGGTCTACGAAAAGTAAAATACTCAGGTCATGACTGTCTGGCAAGACGTTTTTTCTAGTTTGATTAAATACTGAAGTACAATTTGAATATTTTAGACTTAACCTGTTAATGACTGATACATAATATGACATCTGAGAACATGGTCATTCTTTATTACCTATATTGAAGTAAAAAGCTCCTTAACCCAAGGAAACCATCTGACTTTTCTCCAGTGCCTAGTACAATGCCTAGCAAGTATTAGGTATGGAAATGTTGGTTAAAACTGACCTCCTTAAATAAAGTTATTTAAATATATTCTTAAAAAAATCCACAACATTAAAAAATGCAAAGTCTTAAAGTAGATAATATAAAAATAACATGAAGTAATCAGGTCCTGACTATTCATGAGGGTGTTTCTAAAGAGATAGAGATGGATAGGGGGTACTTAGGAGAAAAGTTTATTATTCAGAAGCTTCAGGCCAGTTATTTACTTACATGTTTTTCATCTATATTCACACCCTCATGTCCTTACCTTTTACTTGTTTGTCCTTCCTCTTCTAAGGATTATCTCGTTGCCAATTTCTCTTTTAGCCTCTGTACACACCACTGCAACTCCTATTTTTTTTTTTTTAAACTCCTATTTTAAAAGACAGAAAACTATTCCCTCTCCCCCTTCAAACTGCTCCTTAGCTCTTTTCCTTTACTAGGAAGTTCCCAAATCAGGCTGCATATAAGTCAGTTGGAGGAGTTTTTAAAATGACAGATTCCTGGCCCTACTCTAGATGTCCTGAATGAGGATACTGGACTGGGATCTAGGACTTTTTCAAAAAGCTACTCAGGTGGTTCTATCATACAGTAAATAGGTTCATTAGTCCAGATTATGCTATCGATTGCCCAACTATCTGGTTCTTCAAAAACAAAAGCTATTTATCTCTCATGTTAAATGGACCTCCAAGTACAGAAACGGGTGTTAACAGACTTCTGTTTCTAACCATTCTTCCAGATCACTCACTACTCTCACCAATGAGCAAACTCCTTTCTGTTGTGGTTCAAGTCCTTTGGCTATTCCACCCCTCTCAGGTTCCCATCCATCCACACACAGCAGTATCACATTTCATTCAAAGGCAAGCCAGAGAGTTTAGCAAACTCTTTCTGTTGTGGTTCAAGTCCTTTGGCTATTCCACCCCTCCCAGGTTCCCATCCTTCCACACACAGCAGTATCACATTTCATCCAAAGGCACCAGAGAGTTTAGCATCTATCTCAGTTTCCTGAGAGTCAGCACTGCCACTAACCTGGGCGAGTGTGTGCATGTCTGTCTCACACAGCCTAGTATGTATGAGCGCATGCTCAGCTGGTTCAGTCGTGTCTGACTGTTTGCAACCTCATGAACCAGGGGTCCACCAGGCTCCTCTGTCCAGGGGATTTTCCTAACCCAGGGACTGAACCTGCATTTCCAGCACCACAGGGAAGAGTCTTTACTGCTGAGCCACCAGGGAAGTCCATAAAGCCTAGTGAATGATCACAAATTAATAGCAGCCCAAGATTCCTCCATGCCTCCTAAAATTGCTCACTTACCCTCCTCCCCAAAGGTAACTTCCATCCAGAGTAAAACACCATATATTAGTTTGCCTGTTTTTGAACCTTTTTTAAATGCAATGATACAGCTATATTCTTACATTCTGCTTTTTTGCTCAATATTATATTCATGAGATTCATCTATATTGCTATATATAGCAGCTTATTCATTTTCATTATTTCTGTGCAGCGCTATAAAATATGAATATATAAAACTACTTTATTTCTATTAGGAAAGAATTTGGGTTGCTTTTTGCTACTAGAAATAAAGCTGCTGCTAAGTCACTTCAGTCGTGTCCAACTCTGTGTGATCCCATAGACGTCAGCCCACCAGGCTCCCCCGTCCCTGGGATTCTCCAGGCAAGAACACTGGAGTGGGTTGCCATTTCCTTCTCCAATGTGTGAAAGCGAAAAGTGAAAGTGAAGTCACTCAGTCGTGTCCGACTCTTAGCGACCCTATGGACCGCAGCCTACCAGGCTCCTTCACCCGTGGGATTTTCCAGGCAAGAGTACTGGAGTGGGGTGCCATTGCCTTCTCCGAGAAATAAAGCTACTGAACTTATAAGCAGAAAACTGCTCCTGAACTTCACGAGGGAAAAAAAAACTCATAAAAAAGCAAATGGATGCTCTCTTCCTAAGCCAAGCCAGATTAAGCCTGCTAAAATGTCACACTAATCTATCTGAGCTCTTGATTTTACCACAGTGCTTGTATGTATTAGCAAAACATTTGAGGTCCTACACAGTCTAGACTCAAACTACCTTTCCAGTCTTCTCTAGTTTTTCACATTCTTTACTTTACTAAAAATTACATTTACTTTTTAAAAATTAAAAACACAAGAAAACAAAACCACCTAAAAAAGAACAACACTGCTTTAAATTATCTTGTAAAACTCAACTGGCAAATACCAGCTCCTGTTCTGTTGAAAGTGGAAAAGTCATAGGATGTGTATATTTAGCTTTACCTATACTGCCCAACAGTCTTCTAAAGTAGAGTTATCAATTTTCATTCCTACCAGCAAGCTATGAGAGTTTCCATCTCTCCACATGCTTTCAACATTTAGTACTGCCAGTTTAAAAAGTATTAGCCATTACAGTGGACATTCAATGGTATCATAATGTGGATTTTATCTGGCATTTCCTGAAAAAGAATGAAGAAAAATGAACAGAGTCTCAGAGACCTGTGAAATCCCACCAAGTGTACCAACATACACGTAATGGGAGTTAGAGAGGAGGAGAAAGAATATTATTCAAAGAAAAATGGGTAAAAATTCCCTACATATAATGAAAACTATTCATGTAAACATCCAAAAAACTCAACTCAAGAAACTTCATGAAGGATAAACAAACTCAATAGCACCACAACTTGCATTTATCTGACAAAAACAGTGAAAAAAAAAAACCTTTAAAAATGTGTACTGGTCATCTAGATAGACTCCTTTGTGAAGTGTCTATTCTTGTCTTTTGCTTTTTGTTTTTTTTTTAAACTAAAGAGATTGTCATCTTTTTCTTATTGATTTGTAGAAATTCTTTACATGTTATGGGTGAATCTTGTAAATGATATTTTAATTAGTTCATTAATTTCAATGAATAAAAACTATGACTCCTATTTTTAAAAATCTTTTTAAAATAATCTTTTATTTGGGGGCTGTACTGGGTCTTCGTTGCTGTGAGGGCTTTTTTCCAGCTGTGGCGAGGAGTTACTCTCTACTCTGCAGTGCACAGGCTTCTGACTGTGGCGGCTTCTTCTGCAGAGCATGGGCTCGAGGGCACACAGGCTTCAGTCGTTGTGGCACATGGGCTCAGCAGCTGCAGCTCCTGGGCTCTAGAGCATAGGTTCCACAGTTGTGGAGCATGGGCCTAGTAATTTGCCAAAGACCAGGAACTGAACCCACGTCTCCTGCATTGGCAGGTGATTCTTTACCATTGAGCCACCAGGGAAGCCCTGATGATGCTTATTTTTTAAAAAAAACAATGCATATTACTACACAGACTCACACCTGTGATCTTCCAAGCAGCCAGTTACATGGGTCTGGAGATCATAACGTGGGAGTCCCACTGGCCCATCAATATCAGCATGGTTCACACTGAATATATTATCCTCTGCTCTGAAACTCACTAGCTTATGGAATGAGGCCCAAACTAGGAACCTTAAGGAATCACCCCCACACTGCCACCAACTCCAACCCAACCAGTAAGACACTCCCAAGTCATACAGAGTCTTACTTAACATCTCTCAAAAGGTTTCTTCTTCTCTGCCTCTACTATTCTTACCTTATTTTGGGCCCTCAAAATTTCCTTCCTGGAATATTGAGGTAGTTTCCTTTTATTTTTTTGGCTACACCATGCAGCTTGTGGGATCTTAAGTTTACCAACCAGGGGTCAAACCCATGCTCTCATCAGTGAAAGCATGGAGTTCTAACCACTGGACTTCCACAGAATTTTCACAGTAGTATCCAATTTTATCTCATCCACCTTTAACCCATTTTTCACTATATAGACAAATCTGATCACATTCACTCTTAAAGACCTTTAGTGGTTCCACAGAATAAAAGGCCAAGCTCCTTAGCCAGGCAAATAAAGACTTTCCATTACCTGATCTTGTAACATGATGGACCTGGGGGGTATTATGCTAAATGAAATAAGTAAGACAGAGAAAGAAAAAGAAATATGACTTAAAAAAAAAAAAAAAAGAAATATGACTTCATTTATATGTAAAATCTAAGAAACAAAACAAATGGACAAACATAACAAACCCAGAAACAGTCATACAAAGAAAACAAACAAGCTGTTTTCAGAGGGGAGTGGGGTAGAGAAGAGGAATGAAAAAAAAAAAAAAGGTAACTATGTGAGGCAATGAGTGCTAACTGGCCTGATCATGCTGATCACAATGTGTATTTATATGAAACCATCATGCTGTACACCTTAAACATATACAATTTTTGTCAATTATACCTTTTAAAGCTGGGGAAAAAATGAGCAGGAGTCAGCACATGAAGGCCATTGTATACCATATTAATGAGTTTGGATTTCATCCTATCAGTAAATGGAATGAAATAAAGGGTTTTTAAGGAGAGAAGGGATACAATCGGATATTCTTTTGAAGGGAATAAAAAGTCACCTCATTTGGAACTCATGCCATGGGAAGCAGAATGGATGGGAGCAATAATGCACACAAAGAACCCAAATAGCCTCTCATTCAGGTTGAAAGACACAGGCCTACACCAGAAATGGCAATGGAATGTGAAGTAACAAATGTATTCACTCACTATCTAGGAGGATGAATCAACAGATTTTGGTGACATGTTAAAGGGAGAGTCGAAGGAGAGAAGGAGAGAAAAAGGTGAAGAATATACAGCACTACTAATTATCAAGATGGTGGCCATCACTGATGGGTAAGCCTGCAAATGAAAAGGTAATGATTTCTATTCAGGAGATCTATGACTGAGACATCAAAACCAAACTGCTACATCAGTCTGGAAGTCACGAGAAAAATAAAGGCTAGAGATGGAGCTTGGGGAGTAATCAGCATACAGACAAAACTGACATACAGGTGTGACTGAGATCACCTAGAAATAAAGTGAAAGACAGGAGTACAATGCAGAAGTGGAAGTATTAAGTATTAAAGAGGTCTTTAGATATTCAAGCATGCTACAGAATATGCCAATGTTCATACCAAGGGCGAAGCAGGTAAAACAGAAGTAGCAAAAAACTAGTTGATAATTGTTCTAGCCAAAATCCCTATGCTTAATTGAACAGGTCCAAGAAAACAAAAGAAACACTTACTATTTAAAACTGGTTATCCCAGGAGGAGCCATGTACTTTGGTAAAAAGCTAGGTTCAAGAAGACGACATGAGGTTCTAGTCTAGCTATACCAACTAAATCTCTGAGCTTTTTCCACATGTAAATTGAGTTCTCAAAATGTCTTCCGTAACTCAAAAATTCAATGATTCTATTCAAATTAATCTACAGTTGAGGTAGGTATACAAACAAGACTTATGTATCATAAAAAGTAAGTCTGTAATAGTAGATAAGATCATGAGCTTAGGGTTCAAGTAAACAGAAAACTCTCATTCCTCTTTCATTTACTTAATCGTAAAATGACAGCAAGTTGCTTAATTCCTTTACACATCAGGTTCTACCGCTACAAAAAAGAAGATAATATTAAAATCTACCTCCAAGAATTTTATAGGTTAAATAAGGTACACATTAAGGGCTTTTGCACAATGCCTGCTATGTGAGAATGTATCAAATTTTAGCTATTACTATTCTAAACACTGTTAGTAATACTCTAAAATCCGTACATAAAATACAGTCCTTCATGAACAATGTAGTGCAATGGCTGCCACATATTAAAATACGATACATTCAAAGAAGAGGAAAGAGAAGACAGGATGGCTTGTGGGGTTTGGCTCCAGTACCTGGAGGTCCTGCTGCAGCTGCATCTTCCATGAGTTCTCCCTCTTCCAACTCCATGTTGTTGTATTCCACATCATTCTCTCCAGACCTAAGAATATACAGAATTCATTTTTCCACATAGTAAGTAAAATTAACATTATCTGTCATATCTCAGTGAATTTTACAGTAATAGTGTATAGCTTTCTCCTATGAAGTAACAGTATATTTCTAAACAGAAAACTGAGAGGAAAGACTTTTGTCATTATCACATGTATGGGCAGTATTATTAATGTTCAATCTACTATTTTAAAGTACCAAAATAGGTTGGCAACATTTAATTTTCAAAATAGAAAATTTGAGAACCATGTAAGCAGAAGAGATTATAGCTTCAAAGAATTTGTAATTTAATGGCAGCAAATTAGGCTTAAAACTGTACATTTTAAGGTTAAGAAGGATGTTCAAATTACTATATATAACTAAAAACTAGTTTCTTAAGATATCATTTCAGAAAAGAGGGTGCTGTTTATCAAAACACAATTATCTTATTTTTAATGACAAAGTACTATATGGAATAGCACAAATCAGCTCTAGTTTTGGGTATTTAAAGTGAAAGTCAGTCGTGTCCGACTCATTGCAACCAAAGGACTATACGGTCCATGAAATTCTCTAGGCCAAAATACTGGAGAGGGTAGCCTTTCCCTTCTCCAGGGGAACTTCCCAACCCAGGAATCGAACCAGGGTCTCCTGCATTGCAGGTGGATTCTTTCACCGGCTGAGCCATCAGGAAGCCCAAAGGAGTCTGAAAATCAGTTCCCAGGTTGACAGCATGGGGAGCTCCACAGATCTGCTCTCCAGTGACACTGTGAACACTGTTTTTTAAGGCAACAGTTTATAGACTCTGGAAATGATTCTAAGAGCATATAGCAAATGAAAACAGCAATGAAATTTGGTAACGACAATGAGTGTGTGTTACTTGAACCAAGAGCAGTGACACAGCAATTCCACTTCTGACTGATGCACCCAAGCACATAAGGCTCCCATTTCCCACAGCTCTCAGGAGAAGGGCTATATTCCTAAGAGGAACAAGACCCCAGCATTTCTCACCCTGCTCCCAGCTACCTGTGGCTAGACTAAAGTCAGGTATATGTGGCTAAGAGGCAGGGATTCCCTTCTTCCACCCAGACCCAAGGCTCTACCTTTGAGGCAGCATGTGAAGAAACTGGGGCCCAGATCACCCTTGCTGCAAGTTACTCATAAAGCAGAAGTTCTAGGCCTCAGAAGACCAACTGAAAAGATCTGGGGCTACAGCCCCAACTCGCCCACTCCCACTGGCTCAGTTTCTAAAATAGGAGAAATAAGGACACCTTTGTTCTCACTCTAGCTTCAGAACTCTGGCTCAGAAATTTTGCCTGTGAGAAGAAGCAGGCTATAAAAACAGAGCCACATAAAAAGGTATAACACTATTAAGAATATTAAAAAAAAACAACTCTCAAATGGAATCCAGCAAAAAAGAAAAATAGAAATCCAGCAAAACATAAGAAGTTACACACCATGGCAGAGTAGAAATTATCCAAGGAATGCAAAGTTGGTTTAGAATCTAAAAATGAACTCATGTAATACACCATATTAATAGAATAAAAAACAAAAACTACATGATTATCTGAAGAGATGAAGAAAGAGACTTCAAAAAAACCAATACCCTTTTATAATAAAAACACTCAATAAACCAGAAGGGCATCTATGGAAAACACACAGCTAACATCATATTAATTGGTGAAAGACTGAACTTTCCCTGTAAGATCAGGAACAAGATAAGAAAGAATGTCCACTCCCACCAATTCTATATGATGTTCTATCCAGTAAACTTAGGCAAGAAAAAGAGATAGAAGGCACCCAAATTGAAAAAGAATAATTAAAACTATATCTATTTACAGGTATAATATTACACATAGAAAAATCTAAAGAATCCATTAAAAAACTATTAGAATTCATAAACAAGTTAACAAGGTTGCAGGATACAAAAATCTGCATTTTCATATACTTGCAAAGAACAACCCACAAAAAAATTTTAAAAGAAAATTCAATTGCATTCACAATAGCATGAAAAAGAATAAGATCAAAGAACAACCCACAAAAGAAACTTAAAAAGAAAATTCAATTACATTTACAATAGCATGAAAAAGAGTAAGATACTGATGAATGATTTCAAAAATGTGTAAAATAAATACTCTGAAAACTACAAAACACTGTTGAAATATCAAAAATTTCTGATTGGCAAAAGACCCTGTTAATATGAAAAGATAAGCTACAGAATGAAAGTTATCTTCAAAGCATGTTCCAAATTCAGCAAAGGACTAGTACCTAATATACATGTGAAAGTGAAGTTGCTCAGTCGTGTTGACTCTTTCTAACCCCATGGACTGTAGCCTACCAGGCTCCTCTATCCATGGGATTTTCTAGGCAAGAGTACTGGAGTGTGCTGCCATTTCCTTCTCCAGGGGATCTTCCTGACCCAGGGATCGAANTATCCGCAACACAAACCACTTATCCACATCAGAGCCAACAAACTACCTATGCACACAATAACATGGATGCGTCCGCAGAGAAACAGAGTGGGGAAAATGCCGGTCCCTAAGTGTTACATACGTATGATTCTATTTACATAACATCCTTTAAGTGACAAAATTATAGAAAAGAGGAAAACACGGGTGATTGCAAAGAAGAGGTTAGGTGGGGAAAGTAGGTATGTTATAGAACAGCAACATATGGGGCACTTGTGGTGATGGAAATGTTCTGTATCTTGCTTATGTCACATCAATATCCTGGCTGTGAGGTTTGTTACTTACTACTGGGGAAAACTGGGCAAAGGGCATATGGAATCTTGTATTATTTTTCACAACTGCAAGTGAATTTACAATTACCTCAAAAAAAAGGAAGAAAAAAAACAAATAGCAGGAAGAAAATACATACTGCTATCATAAAAAGACTGAGGTGGAGGGAGAGAAGAAGGCCTGTTTGATAAATGTGCTGTAGCTAACAGAAAGTTATTTCTAATAATCATTATCCAAATCAACTATATTCCTACTTCTCCACCTATTAAAGGAAGGAACTGATCTTAATTTGTAAAAGCTAACAATGTATGTTCCTGAGATGGTCAAACTAGGCTTGCCAGTGGCTTTAGCAATAAAGAATCTGCCGGCAGTGCAGGAGATGCAAATTCAACTCCTGGTCCAGGAAGATCCCCTGGAGGACGGCATGGCTACCCACTCCAGTATCCTTGCCTGGAGAATCCCATGGACAGAGGAGCCTAGTGGGCTACAGTCCATGGGGTCGCAAAGACACAACTAAAGTGACTGAGCACAGTACAGATGTTCAAATTGGCTTAACTGTGCTATTTCTATGAATTATACAATATACTTTGAATCAAGCTATTAATGTAGATGCATGCAAATAAAGAGAACATAATCAAACACTTTCTAGTGGAAAAAACATTAAAAGTCAATCTAGGGGACTTCCCTGGTGGTCCGGTGATTAGTACTCTGCACTTCCAATGTGGGGACCTGGGTTCAATTACCGATCAGGGAATTAGATCCCACAGCATGCCTGAACTAAAGATCCTGCCACAACAAAGGACCCTGCATGCTACAACAAAGATCTAAGATCCTGAGTGCCATAACTAAGACAGCCAGCAGAGGCAAATAAATAAATATTTCTTTTAAAAAAGTCAATATAATGTAAGGCTGTGAATGAAGCTTAATGGAAAATACGATGCCCTCAAGACTACCCTGAAAAAAGTCAAGAGACCTAACAGTCAAAGGAATTAATTCAGGTAGAACCATATATGTAAGCTGTTTATCAAGGTGATTCCACTTCACAGAATCACCATCTTCAACAACTTTTCATACTAGCTCAAATTAATAAGTTTTACTTTATATGTTAAAAAATATCAGTAATAATGATTTCTGATTTGGTAACTTAAAAGGCTTCACATTTTAACTAACCCTTTAAGACAATTTGCCAAGTATTCTAAAGAGGGAACTTGAAGTGCAAAAGGTCTATTTTGAGGAGTTAATACAATGAGAACTATATTTACTTTATCTCAAGTGTCTCACAAAAAATTTTATGTGGAGAGAGAAAAGAGAGAAACATAACAAAGTAAAACATTAACATTTGGGGAGTTAATCTGCTACTATTTTTGCAACATTTCTTAAATATGAAATAACCACAAAATTAAAAGTTAAAGCTACAAGGAAAACTGTTTGGATCCCAGAGATGAGAGGGAGGGAACTCACTCTTTCTTCCTTCATTTATATAAGAGGGTAAATCAAGGGGAAAAAAATGCTTAATATCCCCAGTTTTAGAAAGAAAAAGAAAGTGAAAGAAAGAAAGAAAACTGAAGTCAGTCATGTCCAATTCTTTGCGACCCCATGGACTATATAGCCTGCCAGGCTCCCCTCTCCATGGGATTTTCCAGGCAAGAATACTAGAGTGGGTTGCCGTTTCCTTCTCCAGGGGATCTTCCCGACCCAGGGATCGAACCCAGGTCTACTGCATTATAGGCAGACGGTTTCCCGTCTGAGCCACCACCTAGTTTTAGGCCTAACTTAACTACCATGCTTCTAAAAATTATCACTTAGATGGTTTACAGTGGTAGTTTCTGTGAGACACTCACATCGTTTCTTCGTCAATGTCATTTTCTTCTGTGTTACTCGTTGCTGTGGAACTGGCAGAAGAACTGCTGCCATCGAGGTGATTTGCTTCATCTTCACCAACAAGATCCAGATCCAGATCTCCATCTGAAAGATCCTGCTAGATTAAGGCAAAGAAACATGATTTCTATCTCAAATGTTTTCACTCAGCCTGGACTAAGCCCCAAATAAGGTACTCCTCAGAATTCTCTGCTGCTGGGCCTACACTGCTGAGCCCTGTAGAGATAAATCACACAACCACATTACCTGGGCCCACCAATAAGTTATTTCTGCTGGGCTTTCAATATGACTGGAAATGGTTCATACAGTCCATGCCAACTTCCTCACAGAATAACATTTCAAATCATCACTCCTCAAGGTCTGAAGTGAAGTGGCTCAGTCGTGTCCAACTCTTTGTGACTCCATGGACTGCAGCCTCCCAGGCTACTCCATCCATGGGATTTTCCAGGTAAGAATACTGGAGTAGGTTGCCATTTTCATTCTCCAGGGGATCTTCCCAACTCAGGGGTTGAACCTGGGTCTCCTGCATTGCAGGTGAACGCCTTACCCTCTAAGCCACCAGGGATGTGATTATAAATCCCTGTCACCTTTCTATACAGAAAAACATACAGGCTACGGCTAGTTAGCATAAATGCCTCCAACTCTCAGCTGTCCTACCTACAAACTCCATCCTTCCTTTAACTCATGCTATCAAAGGTTAACTGCTACACCTGAGTTCTCCAATCCAACATATAACATCTCCTAAAATAGTCTGTTATGTCAATACTTGTACCTTAATTTTCAACCTTTCTCCCCACTGACTCCATCAATTATAACACACACCTTAAGCTTCCCATCCTCAGTTCAGTTCAGTTGCTCAGTCGTGTCCAATTCTTTGTGACCCCATGGACTGCAGCACGCCAGGCCTCCCTGTCCATTACCAACTCCCAGAGTTTACTCAAACTCATGTCCACACAGTCAGCAATGCCATCCAACCATTTCATCCTCTGTCGTCCCCTTCTCCTCCCACTTTGAAACTTTCCCAGCATCAGTGTCTTTTTGAAGGAGTCAGTTCTTTGAATCAGGTGGCCAAACTATTGGAGTTTCAGCTTCAGCATCAGTCCTTCCAATGAACATTTAGGACTGATTTCCTTTAGGATGGACTGGTTAGATATCCTTGTACTCCAATAGACTCTCAAGAGTCTTCTCCAGCACCACAGTGCAAAAGCATCAATTGTTCTCCTCTCAGCTTTCTTTATAGTCCAACTCTCACATCCTTACAAGACTACTGGAAAAACCATAGCTTTGACTAGAAGGATCTTTGCTGGCAAAGTAATGTCTCTGCTTTTTAATCTGCTATCTAGGCTGGATATAACTGGAGAAGGAAATGGCAACCCACTCCAGTATTCTTGTCTGGAGAATCCCATGGACGGAGGAGTCTGTCGGGCTACAGTCCATGGGGTTGCTAAGAGTCGGACATGACTGAGCGACTACACACATAGCACAGGCTGGTTATACCTTTTTTCCCAAGGAGCAAGCGTCTTTTAATTTCATGGCTGCAGTCACCATCTGCAGTGATTTTGGAGCCCAAAACTATAAACTTTGTCACTGTTTCCACTGCTTCCCCATCCATTTGCCATGAAGTGATGAGATTGTATGCCATGATCTTTGTTTTCTGAATGCTGAGCTTTAAGCTAACTTTCTCATTCCCCTCTTTCACTTTCATCAACAGGGTCTTTAGTTCTCCTTCACTTTCTNTTAAATTCATCCATCCCAGTCCATTTTAGTTTGCTGAGTTCTAAAGTGTCAGTGTTCACTCTTGCCATCTCCCGTTTGACCACTTTCAATTTGCCTTGATTCATGGACCTAACATTCCAGGTTCCTATGCAATATTGTTCTTTACAGCATTGGACTTTACTTCCATCACCAGTCACATCCACAACTGGGTGTTGTTTTTGCTTTGGCTCCATCTCTTCATTCTTTCTGGAGCTATTTCTCCACTGATCTCCAGTAGCATATTGGGCACCTACCGACCTGGGGAGTTCATCTTTCAGTGTCCTATCTTTTTGCCTTTTCATCCTGTTTATGGGGTTCTCAAGGCAAGAATACTGAAGTGGTTTGCCATTCCCTTCTCCAGTGGACCACATTCTGTCAGAACTTTCCACCATGACCTGTCCATCTTGGGTGGCCCTACATGGCATGGCTCAAAGTTTCATTGAGTTAGACAAGGCTGTGGTCCATGTGATCAAACTGGTTAGTTTGCTGTGATTTCAGTCTGTCTGCCCTCTGATGGAGAAGGATAAGAGGCTTATGGAAACTTCCTGATGGGACAGATTGACTGAGGGGGAAACTGGGTCTTGTTCTGATGGGCAGGGCCATGCTCAGTAAATCTTCAATCCAGTTTTCTGTTGACGGGTGGAGCTGTGTTTTTTCCCTGTAGCCAAATTATGGTGGCGGTAATGAAGATAATAGCGATTGTCTTCAAAAGGTCCCAGACATGCACTGCTACACTCAGTGACCAAGTTAAACAAATATAACAAAAAAGCTTATCTATCCATTTCTCTCATACCTTAAACAGTAACAACCACTTCTTGAAATCTCACTCTAGCTGTAGTTTAGCTGGGACAAAACCTGGCTATTTCCCAAATCCTAAATCATTCTACCTACATATGCAATGATAAGGTACTTCAACTAGATGCAGTGAATGGAAATAAGACACACTTTAAAAATCTACAATTTACACAGCTTCTAGAATGTATACCACAGTTTCTTGTGTAGACTGTACAGTTTCCTATAATAAACTAATTTTTAGAAACTTGAAACACTTTTGATTCAACTTATGACATATTAATAGTCACAACAGGGCACATATTAGTAACAAAAACATAAAAGGACAAGATTTTTGGCACACTGATCCCCCTACATCGTATGCTGAAAACTATGATGCTATTTCTCTCTTCAGACATGAAGTGAACCTAAGCCAGGTCTAACTATTACGTGATAATCTTCACTCTGAATCTTCTCATCCTCTTCACCCTCCTTCACGTCTCGTACAGAAGCTGCAGCAGGACCATCCTGGAGAAGCACGTCAGCGCACGATCCAGGCTTCTTAGCTCGTGTCTCAGGAGTGTCATCATTTTGGGGGCTAAGATGATTATCTGGTGGTGACAAGTCTCTTGATTTCTGAGTTCGAGACAACTCAATAGTAAGTCTCTTTTAAAAAAAGAACACCACAAACATGTGTCATAAGCAGTCCATAACTAGTAAAGTTGTTTCAAGCAAAAACACACAAAAAACAAACAAACAAACAAAAAACAGCCCCACATACCCAGATATTCATAAAAATAGTTCTTGAACTATCTATCTCATACCTACTTGACTTCTGCTTATGAAAAACTCTATACGAATAAAAACTGCCCAATTTATTCTCATCTTTCTTCTCATCTATATCCCATGCTACACATACAATTAGCAAACCGCATCGTAAATATAGGCAGTTTTAGATAGTATACTTGACATGAAAAATTTTTAAAATAGTCATGTTTTCCTCCCTCGTATATTAGGTCACTCCCAGCACTTCCAATTTCTCAACCTATCCAAACATCCACTGGCAGAAAGAAACATTCCTCACATAATTTAGTTTACCATTGTAAAATAAAAGCTCCTTAACTGATCCTCCCCAGCACTCAGTTTAACAACAATGAGAATTCAAGATGGGCAACATTTAATTGTCGAGGAAGAGAAATACCCAAGTCACTGACAGAAACACAAAAGTCTGACTCAAACTAGAGCAGCAGTGTGCAATACAATCTTACACAATGATGGAGATGTTCTGCATTGCGATTCCCAATACAAGCCAGTTAGTACAATGAAGGAACTAGATTAAGTCTAGACAACCACATGTGCTAGTGGCTACTGAACTGGACAGTCCATAATGAGACTCAAAGGTAATGAGAATAAAGAACAAGTGGATTTATCTACAAAGTTACAAACACCAATAATATCCAAACTCTAATTGCAAATTTAACAGGCCTAAAAGACAGTATGAAACACAAAACCTAAAATATGCTTTTTTACTTACCTCTTTAAGATTATTTATCTGTTGGATATAGCTAGTTTGTGCAGCTTCCAATTGAGTGATATACCAATGCTGGTCCCGGCATTTTTGAAAGAAAGTTGGTGAACGAACCTGAAACCTTAAAAGAATGGCTGCACATGAAAACTAATCCAAACAGTAAAATATAACCAACCAAGTGTTAAAACTGTAACTATTAAATTCCACAATTTTAAATTTACTTGATTATAAGGCCAAGATCTTCCCAGGTGGTGCAGTGGTAAAAAAAAACTCTCCTGCCAGTGCAGAAGACACAGGAGATGTGGGTTCAATCTTTGGGTCAGGAAGATCTCCTGGAGGAGGAGAGGGCAACCCACTCCAGTATTCTTGCCTGGGAAAGCCCATGGACAGAGGAGCTCGGCAGGCTACAGTCCACGCGGTGGTAAAGAGCTGAACGTGACTGAGCGCTGAGCACACAAATGAGGCCAAAGTTCAGAACTCAGAGCTCCTGGTACTTGCCGTGTATACATGCAGTCCACTAACTATAATGACATGTGGTTCTGAAAATTTATGTCTAAGTCAGCTGCTAAATTCAAACTGTGCTTTTCTAAAGAAGTAACATTACACATCATGGTTAAGCTTCTAAACTAACCTACTTAAACTACATTTACTATAAGAATCTACCTCAAATACACAGCTGATCCTAAGCTGGGAAGAGGATCATACTATGCAGGAAGGAGATAGCTAATGCTTCATTCTCTCTTCTTGCCTAGGTCAGACCCCAGCAAAACAAGCAAAGTTTATTTTAGGCACTGCCCTTTTTCATTCCTTCTTCCATCTCATGTTCCCATATTTCCTACACACTAGTAAAAAGAAAAAAAAGATAGGGTTAGGGAAAAAAACAGCTATCTCTATGTATTAAAGCATAAAATAGGATATAAGACAGGATCTTGATCTCTTCAGAGTTATCTGTACTGTAAAAAAAACTAACACTTTCCAAAGCAGAAAAACTTAAAACCCCACACCTACCTTGTTAGATAAACATGACTCAATTTATAGTGAAAAAAATTACAGTAATGCATAAAGATGTTTCTAAAGAAAGGAAGAGCCACGGGAAGCAAGGCTAGCTTGGAAGCCTGCAAATCCCTCTCTGGACTTCCCAAGTGGCTCGGTGGTAAAGAATTTGTCTGCCTGTGCAGGAGACAGGAAGATCCCCTGGAGTAGGAAATGGCAACTTTCTCCAGTATTCTTGCCTGGAAAATTCCATGAACAGAGGAGCCTGGTGGGCTACAGTCCATGGAGTCACAAGGGGCTGGACATCAATCAGCAACTGAGCACACACACAAAATTCCTCTTCTAGTCTTGCCACCCTATGTGAACTACCATCCTGTTTTTTCTCGGATTTTAGAGCTAGTGTAGGAATCGACTGATCACCAAACAGCTATCTGCAGCAAATAACTATTTTTAGTTAAGGATACTCATGCATCAAAGGGTAGAGATGATTCACTCAACCACTATTCTAAGTGGATACTGACAGCATACACAGGTTGGACACTGGTGAGACTATATGAAACGTATTATCTTTAAATGACTAATGGAACTGACCCTGCATATTAGTTTTAGGATCTGTGCCATTAAAAGAAAAGCAAGCATCAGGTAAAATTCCTTAACTATCTCTTTCAAAGAAAGAATTTCTATATATAGCATAGACCTAAATAACTTTCTAATAAACAAATATAAATTCCATCAGAATATTCTATTAAGGTTTTAAATTTTGAACAAGCCCTCATTAAATATATAAACGTTATACGCTATAATGAAAAACCAATGCTTGGAGCTTACTCAAACTCATGTCTATCGAGTTGGTGATGCCATCCAACCATCTCATTCTCTGTCATTCCCTTCTCCTCCTGCCTTCAATCCTTCCCGGCATCAGGGTCTTTTCCAATGACTCAGTTCTTTGAATCAGGTGGCCAAAGTATTGGAGTTTCAGCTCCATCATCAGTCCTTCCAGTGAATATTCAGAACTGATTTCCTTTAGGATGGACTGGTTGGATCTGCTTGCAGTCCAAGGGACTCTCAAGAGACTTCTTCAACACCACAGTTCAAAAGAATCAATTCTTCAGCTCTCAGAGAGCTTTCTTTATAGTTCAAATCTCACATCCACACATGACTACTGGAAAAACCATAGCTTTGACTAGACGGACCTCTGTCAGCAAAGTAATGTCTCTGCCTTTTAATATGCTGTCTAGGTTGGTTATAGCTTTTCCTCCAAAGAGCAAGTGTCTTTTAATTGCATGGCTGTAGTTTAGAACTGGACATAGAACAACAGACTGGTTCCAAATAGGAAAAGGAGTACGTCAAGGTTGTATATTGTCACCCTGCTTATTTAACTTATATGCAGAGTACATCATGAGAAACGCTGGGCTGGAAGAAGCACAAGCTGGAATCAAGACTGCCAGAAGAAATATCAATAACCTCAGATATGCAGATGACACCACCCTTATGGCAGAAAGTGAAGAGGAACTAAAAAGCCTCTTGATGAAAGTGAAAGANGTTCTTCTTGCCACCTCTTCTTAATATCTTCTGTTTCTGTTAGGTCCATACTATTTCTGTCCTTTATTGAGCCCATCTTTGCATGAAATGCTCCCTTGATATCTCTAATTTTCTTGAAGAGATCTCTGGTCTTTCCCATTCTACTGTTTTCCTGTATTTCTTGGCATTGATGGCATTGATTGCTGAGTAAGGCTTTATCTCTCTGTGCTACTCTTTGGAACTCTGCATTCAAATGGGTATATCTTTCCTTTTCTCCTTTGCCTTTAGCTTCTCTTCTTTTCTCAGCTTCAACTGAATTCACCTTCCAATGCAGGGGATGAGGGCTCAATTCCTGGTCAGGGAACTAAGACCCTACATACTGGAGGGCTACTAAGCATCACAACTACTGAGCCCAGTGCCTCAACAAGAGAGCCTGCATGCTGCAAACTGCAGGGCCCTTGCACGCTGGAGCTCACACGTCAGAACTAGAGAAAAAGCCTGCCCAGCACAATGAAGATCCCATGTGCCACAGCTAAGACCAAAAATAATATTAATTTATGTGTATGTGTATATATATTAATATACATATACTGGCTCAGTGCCAGGCATAGACTCAGGAAAAGTTGCTGAATTAATGATAATGATAATGATAATTAATGATAATCAAACATCACAACAAGAACCTGTTGCTATACTAACATTCAAGTTCTGCTATAAATAGGAATAGCCAAAATAAAGACCCCAAGGTTGGGCTAAACTGCACTGAAGAAAGGAAGTCTCTCATACAGATCATCAGAAAGACTCAATACTACTAGGATTCCAATAAGATGACTAAAGCCATAAATAACAGCTGTTTTGGAGGCTGGTAAAATTGATATTTGAGTAATTGTGCAGTCTTTCTGGTTAAATTATGAAACAGCAACAAATTACTCCTTTTAGTGAATAAGAGAACCTAAAAGTTATAAAATGGTAGTAAACTAATCTCCCCAAAGAAACAATGACAAAAACATGAATTATTTTCTACACTCAAAATGCAATCCTTTTTTCATTTTCTTATTATCCCAGAAAAGTTATGAAGAACACATAATAGTAAAGGGTGATATAACAGCAACTCATCCAGCATGCTCAAGGAAAAGAAATCAAAATAAATTAAATTTAAGAACATATTAAATCTCTTTTAAGGAAAAAAGAGCTTTTAAAATTATTTGATGGAAACTTAAAACTGTTGAACACTCTGAAACCTCTCAGTTTAAAACATATTTGAATTTCTTTTTACTACTCAAGCTCTCATTTTGATCATCAAATTAAAATAGGGTGTAATGATGCCCCAAAACTAAATTATAAAGATACCCCAATATTAAACAGGGCTTTTGCAATTCTACAGTCACTGCTTATGTTCTGTCCTTCATTATAAATGACATATCAACTACCAACTCTTAACTTATTTTCATCAATTTTCATCTGTATTCCCTTAATTTGCTATTATCTAGAAGAAACTGAAAATATTTTTGTGAAACTAAGCTTACAAAGCCAGCCATCCAAAAACAATACACAATTTCCAGTGGGGGGAAAAAATTACTTGATATCATGCTATTCTTGAATTTCCAAATGGTGAGGCTGCTAGAATTTCAACAGATAAATGGGACATTACCATGCTTATTGGAAATAGTAGTTTACTCTTTATGGAGAACGAGCAAGCTCCGTTGCTTCAGACATGTTCAACTCTGTGACCCTGTGGACTGAGGCCTGCCAGGCTCCTCAGTGCATGGAATTCTCCAGGCAAGAATACTAGAGTGGGTTGCCATGCCCTCCTCCTGGGGATCTTTCCGACCCAGGGACTGAACCCAGGTCTCCTGCATTACAGGCAGATTCTTTACTGCTGAGCCACTGGGGAAGTCCATTTTTTATGGAATTACTAACTAAACGTCACACACATTTCTCACTAGCTTATTCACTGACCACACAGGACTTCTGAAATTAAATGGGTAAGAATATGGTAGGGTAACAGTTAGTATAGATTTTAATATTCATTTTTGTTACGTGAAGACTTTAAAGTTCTGATGATATTATTCCCTGTGATACATGCCAAAATACAAATGTTTCCTATTACCTTAAAATCACTGTATCATTCTGTCGATTCAAGTATCCTTCATTTGCAAGTAAGTCCAAACGGAAAAATCTATTATAACCCCAGCATTCTCCAACTTCAAAGTCAGATGCAAATTCTCGAATGATATTTTTGGTAGGATCATTGCAGGATTGATGAACCATCTCTACGCGATATTCATATCTAAAATTGAAAACAGACTATTAATATAGAGTTACTAAAGCAAGAATAAAAGACATAAATACATCAAGGTCATTAAGTACCTGAAAAGAAACTTACTGATATATACAGCTACATGTCTTTCAGAAAGGCTCATGACAACAGTATTATGAATGGAATTATGACAATATAATTGGCACTAGGTACTTTCCCCTCTTTAAAAGTGTGTACCATTATAGCAGGTATAAAATACCACCTTAGAAAATGAATAAATTTTGTATAAAACAGTGCTTTAAAAGTTACATATTTTAACAACACTATGTTTTTTCCCGTATATCCAATACCTACTATTTCCTCACAATATTCTACCACTTTCTTTGAGATGTACCACAATACAGTTTTAAAATAAATAATAAAATTTGAACACTATATTTTTGTAATGCAATTTATCATAAATTAACTGTGCATTCAGAAACTCAAGTCTATAAAATTTTCTAGTAGAAAATAAGTGTACAGTGGGAAAGCCAGTACATTTAGACTTCCATATTTTAAATAGTATAAAACTTTCAAGTCTTCAAACTCATTTTTACTCAGAAAGTACTGTTACTGCAAGAACAAAAAGTGAGAAAAGATCATCAGAAGGAACATCCAACAGTAGCCATAAAGCTTCTCCTTTTTGGTAGAGATAAACTTTTAAAACAAAAACCCAATATCTTAGTCTGCTATTTCTGCTTGCAGAGAACAAAAGAAAAAATTACAGTTCTTTACCTACAAATGAATGCAAATACAGTTGACCCTTGAACAATACAGGTTTGAACTGTACTGGTCCACTTAAATGTGACTCTCTTTAATAGTAAATACTACAGCACTATACAACCTGTGGTTGTTCGAATCTGAGAATGTGGAACCGTGGATACAGAGGAACCTAGGGAAAGAAGGACCAATTAAAAGTTACATGCAGATTTTTGACTCTGTGGAGCGCTGGTAACCCTAACCCCTGCGTTGTTCAATGGTCAACTGTCCTTAAGTACTGTCAAATGATTTTTATATTAGTATCTCTCATAGTGAATTATTAATAGACTGATGGCACAAACTAATGCAAAAGCCATGATATTTTGTCTGGCTAGATATTGCAGTTGTGAGGCCAGCTCTCACCAATAAGCGGTGCCACTAAATGTCTAAAAATAAACCTCAATAACCTATGTGCGACTGATACTTTACAAAGGCTCTAAGATGATTCAATAGGGAAAGGAAAGCCTCCTCAACAAAGGTGCTGAGGGGTTTCCTCGGTGGTCCAGTGGTTGGGAGACCAGGCTTTGACGGTGTGTGCCCAGGTTCAGTCCCTGGCCAGGGAACTGGGATCCCAAAAACTGTGAAGTGAAGCAAAAAACAAAACAAACAAGCCCCCCAAAACCAAAAACAACAAAAAAAACAAATGGCACCAAGAAATCTGGTTGTTACATGCCAATTTTATATTCATNGTGGTCCAGTGGTTGGGAGACCAGGCTTTGACGGTGTGTGCCCAGGTTCAGTCCCTGGCCAGGGAACTGGGATCCCAAAAACTGTGAAGTGAAGCCAAAAAACAAAACAAACAAGCCCCCCAAAACCAAAAACAACAAAAAAACAAATGGCACTAAGAAATCTGGTTGTTACATGCCAATTTTATATTCATGTTTCATATACAACTCTCTAACTTCACACACAAAAATGAACTCAAAACAGATCAATGACCCAATCCAAGGGTTAAAATTATAAAACTCTTAGAAGAAAACACAGGGGTAAATACTCATGAATTCGAATTAGGCAGTGGATTCGGAGACTTGACTCCAAAGCGTGAGCAAGAAATAGGTAACTTTTTTTGTGCATCACAGGACATTATCAAGAAACTGAAAAGACAACTCACAGAATGAAAGTAAGTTTTCAAATCCATGTCTGATAAGGATTTAGTATAAAAATATATAGAGAATTCTTGGAACTCAGCAATTAAGAGACCTAATAAGCAACCTAATTTAAAAACGAACAATAAACTTGAATAGCCATTTCTCCTTTCTCCAACGAATATATACAAATGGAAAAAAAAGAAAAGAAACAAAACATGAAAAGATGCTCAACCTCACCATTCATTAAGGAAATGCAGGTCAAAATCACAATGAGATACCATTTCAGATTCACTAGGATGCCTATAAAATATAATCTAAAAATGGGAAATAATGAAGCCACTGAGAAAAGAGTTTGGCAGTTCCTCAAAATGTTAAAAACACAGAATTACCATATAACCGAGCAATTCCACTGTTGGAATATATTCAAAAGAAATGAAAACCTATGCCCATATAAAAACTTGTACATGAAATATTTATAGCAGGATTACTCTTAATAGCCAAAAGATGGAAACAATCCATATGTCCATCAACAGATGAGTGGATAAACAAATTGANAAAAAAAAAAAAAAAAAAAAAAAAAAACCCAATGATAAGACATCTGTTTTTATCCAAACAGAACAGTCTCATTAAGGTATTCAGATAATATCTAGCAAATACACCGTTCTAATCTTAAACCTTAGTATCCTGAATGATAGTTTTTCATTATCACTGACAATATCACTACTATTTATAATGTAAACTTTAAGTTCCCAAAGTGTATATATCAACAATAAAAGCATCCAAAATGAAACCGGCACCAAAAGCAAGGGAAATTTCACAGAATCTACCTATCAGCAAGAGGAGAATCTCAGGAAGGTGAGAAACACAGGTACAGACATACCTGGTTTTATTGTGCTTTTGGTTTTTTGTGCTTCAGAGGTATCACACTGTCACACACTGAGGGTCTGTGGCAATCGTGCATCAAGCAAGTCTATTTGGCTCCATTTTTCCAACAGCAGTTAGTTAGTCACTTCACGTCTATGTCACAGTTAGTAACTCTCACAATCTTTCAAACTTTTACATCATTATTGTTATATCTGTAATCATGATCTATGACCAGTGACCTCTGATGGAATTGTTTTGGGGTGCCACAAACCATATCCAAAGACAAACTTAACTGATAAACGTTGTGTGTGTTCTGACTGCTTTACCTGTCAGCATCTGTCTTCCCTGCCCCTCCTCCCCAATTTCTTTCCTTGCCTCTTAGGCCTCCCTATTCCTGAGACATAATAATAATACTAATGGCCTTTAAGTGTTCAAGTGAAAGAAAAACTCTCACATCGTATTTTAAATCAAAAGCTAGAAATGATTAAGGTTAGTGAGGAAAACATGTTGAAAGGCAAGAGGCTGTGAGTTAGGCCACTCGAATCGAACAGTTAGCCAAGCTATGAATGCAAAGGAAAAATTCTTACAGGAAGTTACAAGTGTTACTCCAGTGAACACACAATTTAAAAAGCTAAACAGTATCACTGGTGACATGGAGAAAGTTTTAGTGGTCCAGATACAAGAACAAACAAGCTACAACACTCCCCTAAGCCAAAGCTTAATCCACAGCAAGGTCCTAAGTCTCAATTCCACAAAGGCTCAGAGAGATGAAGAAGCAGTAGAAGAAAAGTTTAAAGCTACCAGAGGCTGGTTCCTGAGACTGAAGGAATGAAGCTGTCTTTATAACATAAGAGCGCAAGCTGGTATACAAGCTGCAACAAGCTATCCAGAAGTAATGTCTGGCTTCAAAGCATCCAAGGACAGGCTGAGTTTTGTCAAAAGCTAATGTAGCTTGTGACTTTAAGTTGAAGCTAATGCTCATTTACCATTCTGAATAACCCTAGAGCCCTTAAGAACTATGCTAAACTTACTCTGCCTTTGCTCTATAAAAAGAACAAAGCTTGAGGACAACTCATCTCTTTACCTGTGGTTAACTGAATATTTTAAGCCCAGTGTTGAGATTTACTGCTCTGGAAAAAAAAAAACTTTTTGCAAAGTATTACTGCTCATTGACAATGCACCTGGCCACCCAAGAGTTCTGATGGGAGATATACAAAATTAATGTTTCAGGCCTGCTCACATTCATTCTGCAGCCCACAGATAAGGAGTAATTTTGACTTTCAACTCTTCATAAGGCAATAACTGCTGTAGTAATTGCTCTGATGGATCCAAGCAAAGTAAACTGAAAACCTGGAAATGATTATCCTTTCTAGATGCCAAAAAGACCATTCATGATTTGTGGGAAGAGGTTGGGAAATCAACATTAAGAGGACTTTTGAAAGAACTTGACTTCAAATCTCACAAATTTAAGGGACTTTAAGGGGTTGAAGATCTCAGTGGAGGAAGTAACTGCAGATATGGCAGAAACAGCAAGAGCATTAGAATTGGTAGAGCCTAAAGATGTGACTGAACTGCTACCATCTCGATAAAACTTTAATGGATAAGGAGCTACTTTCGATGAATGAGGGAAAAAAAAGGTCTCTTGAGACACAACCTACTCCAGATAAAGATACTGTGACGACTGTTGAAATAACAACAAAGGATTTAGAATATTAGTTACATAAACTTAGTTGATAAAGCACTGGCGAAGGAAATGACAATCCACTCTAGTATTCTTGCCTGGAAAATCCCATGCAGAGAGGAGCATGGCGGGCTATAATCCACAGGGTCACAAAAAAGTCAGGCAACAATAGTTGATAAAGCAAAGTCAGGATTTGCGAGGATTGACTCCAAATCTGAAAGAAGTTCTACTGTGAGTAAAATGCTATCAAACAGCAATGCATGCTACAGAGAAACCATTCATGAGATGACAGTCAGTTAATGCTGCAAACTTTACTGTTATCTTATTTAAAGAAGTTGCTACACCCACCCTAGTCTTCAGCAATCACTACCCTGATCAGACAGCAGCCACCAAATATGAGGCAAAACCTTCCACCAGCAAAGAATTATGACCCACTGATGACTCAGTGATGGTTTGCATTTTATAGCAATAAAGTGTTTTAAATTAGATATGTATACTGTTTTCTGAGACACACTACTATCACACACTTAATAGACTATAGTATAATTTAAACATAAATTTTATGTGACTTGTTTTATTGCAGTGGTCTAGAACCAAAC